TAATTGAAAGCTCCAACCAAGTTATTTTCTCTTCGTTTTTATTCTGTCCAGTTTACCCAAATATAAAACACATTTAGCATCAAATGAAGTTCATCGTGACCTCAGGCAAAGGGATGCAGGCGCATGTGGGAGTCTGGAAATAGACCTGGTGTCAGTCTGATGGGAAGCTTTGTGTGTCTAATGAGAAAAAGGAACTTGTCTTCCAGCAGAATCTTGGCTGACTTTTTTTTTTTTTTACTCTGACCCCATGCTTAAAAAAATATGCAGGGCTTCAATTCTTTTGAGTTCATTTAAACTTACACCTTTTCTCACCAGACCTTTTTTATTGTGTCTATAAATAAGTGTACTCCAGAGTTCCTGTAGTGTTTGTTTTCCTTTGACCAGCTGTTCGGGTTAAACTGGGTCAGGGGGCACACACTCTCTGACGTTCAGTTCCTAATCTTCAGGTACCTCCCACATCTTAATGATTTAATCAGGATATTCTAATACCTCTAAGAGTACTACTTTAACTTGAATGAAAATGCATGTTGTCCACTGAAGTCTTCTAATAAAGAATCCTTTCAAAAAAGAACATTTTCAAGTCGTCAGTGTGTTAGAACATTCTGACCTCTTTTTGCCAATAAGTAAATACTGGTCTCTCTTTTCTGTCAAATCTGATAGGTCGTGTACATATGAATCTATCTGCTATTTGATCGTTTTAACATCCCACAGTGTGTTACAAGGTTACCAGCGCTGTGCAGGAGAAGGAGAAGGCAATCTCTTCCCATAGAGATTTACACCCTGGAAAACCCAGTGGAGGGGCCCTGTGAGTCAGGCCCTTTTGCGCATAAACACACACAGCGTCAATGACTTGTCTGCTCTGTGACTTCACATCTGATTTGCACTCCTGGAGTCTACTGCTCAAAAGTTCTCTAACGACACTTGTGTTAAAGGAAGAAAGTGGAAGTAAAGCAAAGGCGAGATAAAGCATGTTTGCTGTCCTCCTCTGGACGTAACAAGCCAAGTCAGCTTAGACACATGTGGATTTAGAGTGAAGACCAGTTAGCCTGCTGCCTCCCTGTCCAGAGAGAAGATAAGGGCTTTTGTCCCATTGCTGCACATTTCAGGTTTTTAATTCTTATTTTAGTGTGAAAAAATAACAGATTGCTCCCTAGGTCAGAGAGTCTGAGAAAGGAAGGTAAAACAGTGCTGCGATTATTGTTACAGCCTTTATAAGAAGTACAGTTTGAGTGCAAAGGGGGCCCAGATAAGATGGTCAGGACCCCAGGAGTCTGTCCCCGGCTTGACTCCTGTCAAACTGTCCTCCTGACAAGCGTGTTTTTTCCTTCCCATTGTAAGCACTTCATCCGCGAGGCCTTGAATGCTTTCATCCTCGCTGGCTTTTGAAGAGGAAGTTGTTGGACTTGTGCCCAGTGTGACCGCAAGTGAGCCAGCGTGCACTTTGACCTGGCGGGATTTGCTTCACATATGTTGGGTCACGATAAGGATAAGGAGGGTTGCTTAAAACTTTACTACTTCAAAAGCACCAAGCCTTCTCACTGAGAGGTTACATAAAACAATTAAAAGCAGAATCAGTAATTCAGGTATCGAGTCCCTGGTATATCAGCTTGCCAAAGTGTGGTTTGACAGTTTACCTCCCCACTTTGTCTTACTGGTTTACTAAGGAAGTATTTAAAGTGCATAAAAAAGTGTGATCATTTGTTGGAAGGGAACTTAGGAATGAGTAACACTCATCATTTATTGGATAGTGTCTCACACACTAACGACTCTTATACTCCCCCGTGTCTGTCTGTCTGTCTGTCTGTCTGTGTCTCTCTCTCTCTCTCTCTCATCCTTTATCTTTTCTAAAGTCCTTCCTGGACTGTGATAGTGAAGTTGGAAGAGCCTGTGTGGGCTGCCCGGTGCTTCCTGTCCACCTCTGCCCTACATTTGTGTCTCTCCTTGGCCTCTCTCACAGCCTTGCCATGCAAGCTCTCTTAACTTCCGGCGTGTTACCCTGGCTCTTCTGTTTTAGACAGAGGTTACACGCACAGCTCGCACTTGTGTTCTGTGAACAAGAACTCCTGTTTGTGCTCGTTTTTGTAGTTCCAGCGGATCTCAGTGTCAAGCACAAAGCCCTGACCAAGTAGTCCTTGAATCGATTCATGCATTCTACTCGTTGTCTTTTCTGCAGTCTCCTGACCTTTGCATGAACCTCTCAAAGTCTCGTTCTGCATTGGATCGTCTAGTTTCAAAAACTCAAGGAAATATTTATCACTAAAATGGCAAAAGGATAGTATTAACATACAAATGAGTCCCAAGAAATCACTAAGAAAAATTGCTAAAATGCTAGGAAATAGGCAGAGATTGGTAATAGCCAATTTACAAAAGAACTGTATAAGATGGCTAAAAGAGATAGGAGAATATTTTTATCATCACTGAAGGTGAGGTAAGTGCAAATGCGAAGCGAAATTCTACCTACCAGTTTATCAGGCATGACTGTGTTTATCTCTGCACTATAGACATTCTCGTTCTCATATGTAGCTGTTGAGAAAATCACTTCTCATCTTTCTGACTCACTACCAGCCCTTTCTGTATTTTCATTCCTCTTACTCAATTTGGGAGTTCTGGTAGCCTAGCGGATAAGGCATTGCACTGCCAACCCAAAAGTGGGTAGTTCAAATCCACCAGCTGCTCTGAGGGAGAGAGGTGAGCAGGCTCCTTCCGCACAGTTTATTCTGGAAACCCACTGGAGAGTCAACTGTAGCCCCATTCTGACTCCCGGCGATGAGGGGAATTATTTGGTTTCATGATTTTTGCTGTTTGGTTTCCTCAGTTAGAGTTGTTACCACTAAAGAGTTGATGATTCCACTGAGGAGAAACAAGGCGTCAGTTCAGGAAACGAGCTGTCACAGTGGTGCCTGTGTTAACCCTTTACTGAGATAGTGTGGGAGGTCTGGTGACCCGTGGTAAGAACCTGCACTGCAATCCCGAAGGCACCCAGTTCGAATCCACCAGCTGCTCTGCGTGAGAAGGATGGTCAGTCTTCTTCTGTGTGATTAACTTCTTCTGAAAACCTGCTGGAGGGTCAGCTATGGGTCAGTTCCAACTCGATGGTCCACAACATCAACAACAACAACGACGTGACCCAGAACATGCTGGCTTTGCTTCCAAATCAGGCTCCGTATCCATTTTCGTTTACATAAGACAGTTGCCTAGAAGACTAATTACAGAATCTGTGACTCTGGAGACAGTTTCAGGTTAAAAGGATGATTTCTGAGCCACAGAGACCTAGTTTTAAGTCTGGGATGTACACGTTAGTCAAATTTGTGACTTTTGGCAAGTTACTCACACTTCTCATTTGTTGGTTTGGGGATTTACCTTACAGGGACTTTATTACAAAATGTGTTTGTTCAGACGTAATTACTGAGCATCTCCTTGACATTTCAGCAAACATTTCAAAGGGGGTATCCCATGTATTTGGGGAACAGCAGGTTAGTGTAGCAGTAACTAAGGAAGTTAGGCAAAGTGGTAGGCGTGGCAAAGAAGGATCAGGTGGGTGAGGGCTGAGAGCTGTGGCAAGAATGCCAGCTTTCAGTCGAAGCTGAGAATCTCTAGGAGGAATTTCTATCAGACAAGTGACTTGATGGAAATAGATTTCTTTCGTTTTGTTTGTTTCATTATTTATATTTCTTAGACTGTGTGTAATAAAATTATAATTTCCTTAAAATAGAGTGTAAGGAAAAAAATCATTAGGAATGAGTGAGACTTTCTTCTCTTTGCTCCTACCCCATAAAGTCAGTCAGTGAGATGCCTCTCTCTAGAGAAAGTGTGGCCACAGGCTGATGTGGCTACGTCCCTGTGTATTATGACATGAGACAGTCGGGGCTGCTTTACTGGACCGTCTTTTCCTAAATCCTTAGTTGGCATTTCTTCCACGTAGGGCTGGTGAGAACCCCTTCAATTTCCTTTCCTCACCTTTTTCTTGTCTCGGCTTCTGTGACACCATTCGTAGACGAATCCAAGGCTAACATAAGCGCAGCCCTCATTTTT